ATGCTACACCCTCAGCAAGCTAGCATTCAGACATCTAAAAAGAAATGAAACCAGCTGCATTTGCTTCCCGCTGGATCAAGTTAGCAAGACACTAGAAAATCCTGAGCAGTGCTGAAGATGGAGAACAAAAGGTGTTTGTTTGCAGCCCTGAAAGTAGTTTAAAAGAAGCAAAGCTTTAAATAAAAACACAATGTTTGTTTATGCTGTCATCACAGCCCTGCTTGGACCAGAGGGATTATTGATATGCATAAACACTGCTATCACTGCCACTTTATTCTGAAACCTTAGCAGCCTTCATTTGCTCAGAATGTAGGACCCAGAATACAAGCAGACAGATCAGAGCGTTTATTCCTGCTCTGCGTGCAGCAGCTCAGCAGCTGGGGCAGAATCGCTGCAAACTCTGGTTTAAAGTTCAGTCTAACCCTGAAATCTCACATCCTCCATCTCCGCCTCTCTGCTCTCCAGAGCGCCAAAGCAAAGCAAAGCCTACATCCTCTGTTGTTCCCCCCATCCTGCTCCGCACTGACTTCCTCGGAGCTCGAGGAGAGCGTCCGCTATATTATTATTAAATCCATAGGAGCCAAACATGCGGAAATTAACGCTTAGTTTAATACGACATATTTAAAAAATCCCCACCAGCATCCAGCAGATGTTCAGTTTCTGCCCAAATATTTAATTTTAGTTGTTGATACCTAGAATCATACTAAATAGATTTTTCCAAACTCAGCATCTCTTCATCCGTTTCTGGAATAAGAAGTTTCTTGTGACTGGATTTGATGAAACTTTTAAGCTTCTTGATGTAAAATAAATATTTTAATAAAGATGAGAAATCTGCTTCCTGGTTTATTGACGTACCAATAGTTTGCATCCAATCATTTGATTAAAGTTTTGGGGAATATATAAGAATTATTCTGTAGTTATTGATCCATCGTTACTTTAATGATTTTATCCAGAGAATCCAAAACAGAGAGACCAGAGGAAGGTTTAACAAGTTTATGGAGAACTGGTAGCGATGGGTTCATTGCTGCTCTGAACACAGGTGAACCGGGACTGACAACTAAAGGGGAATTTCCTGTTCTTAGTTGAGGCTCAGTGGGAAATTTGAGCTTCGATTTGCAAAAGGGAATAAAGGCAAAAAGACTCACTTTTCCAGAAAAGGTGTCTTTCTCTGAATCCAGTCGGTGAGGGTTGTTCCAGTAATTGACTTGCTCGTTGGAGGGCGGACAGGGTTTACGCAGGTTGAGGTGTTTCCTTGAGGAACAGAGGAGCTGACTGCCACTTAGATTTCCTATGGTACTTGAACGGTTTCTTGTGGAGATGAATCCCCTGCTCAGTGTGAAGCACAAACAATCTGTTTGGTGCGATTGAAATAGCGGATCTTGACCTGGCCGGACCGGAGTAAAAAATAGCTCTGCTCCGTATTTTGGACGGAGAAGACGTACGTGGACGGAGACGTTTGGAGGAGTAGCGGTGGATGTGGAACAGTTCTCATTGGTTAACATGACTGACGGGTATTCCGCACCACATACGTGAGCGGAGCGGAGCGCTGACGGAGGATGTGGAATCTGGGGGTAAACCCAGAGGAAGGAGTGGAATCCTGAAGGATGCTTTCTCCCCCAGAGTTCCAGGAAAGAAGCAGAGCAGACTGACCAGCAGAAACCAGCAGATGCTGAAGAGCGGAAGCATGTGTGGAGGGAAATCCAAACCCAGAGTCGTAGCAGGAGCAGGTTTCCAGGCCAGAAGGTCAGAGAGCCGAAAAAGGAACGAAGGAGAATCCATGGCAGGGTCAGGAGGCGGATCCAAGTAGTGATGGGTCCAGCAGCCCTGATTGGTCCGTCCATAGAGCATAACACTGAACGCGTGTCGCTTCCTGAAAGTCATGTGACCGATCCAGGAGTAGTTTCTAACTGATTCATTAAACTGTGTTTGAAAACGTATCTGTCGACATCATGCATCTGCTAAAAAAAATGTCTCATCTTTTGCATTTTATCGTTAAAATGATCCAGAATTTTAGAGCCTAAAAGGAATAAGAACGTTTTCATTTTCTCGTCTCATCCTTTTCCTCTCAGGTATCACTCAACCTTTCTGATTTAAAGTTAATTTAAATGTTTTTACTGTACTTATTATTTTAGAAATATGATTTACAATCCTAGTCCAGAAGTCTCCTCATTCATATTTTCCCCTAAATGTTCACATTATATATGTTTATGTTGTTTATTGACTGCTCCTAAATAATGTAAAAAGATGTTTCCAATTTAAACACAGATATGAAATAATAGAATATAACCTCCAATAATTTAAATGACATCATTGTTCTAGGTCATCAAATCAATTCAGTTTAGTCCAATCAGCTGCCTGTAGTGTCTTTAAATGTCCAGCAGGTGTCAGTATTCTGAGAGACAGAATCAACGCAGCATCAATACAGTTTGTCAATGTTCCAAAACGCTTCAAGATGCGTCATTAATCCATCGGTTGATCGAAGGTAGTCAGCAGACAGAATCCAGGAAACAGGTCAGGAAAACAGAGCAGAGCAGCAGCAAAGAAAACTCAGAAGTTTAGAGGCTGAAACTTGTCAGGATCAGATGATCAGAAACAAACAGGAACGCTAGAGTTACTCTCACACACAGCTCGAATAATCCCCAAATCCAGCAGAGAAGCACGGATCACGGCAGCACAGGAGAAATAGATGCTCAGATCAACCAAACCAGGAAAGATGGCAGGTTCAGCTTCTATAAAGAGACCCAGAAACATCCCATCACCTCACAGCAGGGAGGAAGATACTGGAAGGAAAGGAATGCATGGAACGTCATAACCCAGCGGCTGCTAGAGCCAACAGAAACATCTGTGCAGAATCCAAGCTGGAGCACCCAGGTCAGAATGGGAGCCCCCTCCCAGGGTGGAGGAGAGTAACAGAGCTGAGATCCTGAGGAGCTTCCAGATCCAAACAGACTAAATGGTTGGAGGAGATTTAAATGTGACAAAAACACAGAGAAAATCTGTAAAGAAGTTTCCTCAAATATCTGAGGCAGTTTGGACTGCAGCTTTCCATAAAGCTTCGCCCAAGAGAGAAAACTAACACCCCCATCCCCCCCACCCCACTTCTTTCTGACTGTTGGATGCTAATAGCAGCATCCAGACCTTTAAGTTCTCTCCTTTATTCATGTTCTCTCCAGCTAAACCCAACTGCTGCTGCCGCCCTACGCCGCCAAGGCTGTAAGCCGCTTTTAATGAACACTCTCCAGCTCCAGTCAAAGCAAGGCGACCTTTGACCTGGGCTGGAACGGTTCCTGCAGTCCTTCAGGCTGAAGTCTGCGGCGCGCTGGCTCAGAAGCCTTCAGAGCTGGAAGTTAAACCCCAGAGGGATGCATGTGAAGCCCGGCAGCGTTCAAGCTCCTCTCATTAGTTTGTTGTTTTCCTCCAGAAAAAAACTAAAGGATTAAAGAAAACAAGAAAACAACACGTCTGTGGAAATAATCAGTGTTTAAATATGAAAAGTCTGAACAGCTTTAGCAGTGAACGGTGTAGCATCACCGTTTGAATCTGACTAAACTGGTTCCCTGTCTTGTTTATGGCGTTTATGAGACATGGAAGGTTGGATGGATCCGGAGAGACTGAGGCAGTTGGAGACGGACGGCAGATGGATCGATGACCCGGGAAATCTTGTAAGGACCTATGAACTTGGGCGAAAGTTTTCGAGACATTATTTATATAAATATATATATATATATATATATATGGTCAAAAAGATTCAAAAACATTTTTTCCTTATTTTTCCACTTGCAGACATGTAATTTGATGAAATGGGTCAGCTATTGTTCTGTGAGCTCCCACCCAGCTAGCTGTGTGTTAGAGCAACAGATGAACGGCTGAATCAAGCTCCAATCATGAACAACCGTTAACTCTGCACACATATGGATTAGATTCACAACCTCCATTCGAAATGGAAGAGTTTATCACCAAAAGTCATAGTTTTAACTGTAAAATTGAAAGGGTGATCCAGCATGATCGAACCCAGTCCCAGCCAACACACTAACTGTTGCTAGAAGCAGGCAGTCAGCATCCGCTGATCTGCAAGGAAGGCTTAGTTAAACCACACTCAGCACCATGCACGGCCACAGACCCAGAGCCGCTCCACCCTGCCCAGATGTGCATGTGGTGTAGGTCATGTACAGGTTGAAGAGCAGAGCAGACAGATGTGCTCTCTGTTCTAACTCCTGCAGCTGCAGGATGGGCTCCATCATCGGGACTCTGAATGCATCCAAATCAGGTGTGATGAGAGAAACTGCTCAGGATGCTGGGGGCGGCCATATTGGACGCTTCCTCTTCAGGTAGATCTATGCTGGGTTGATCAGACTGACTCCAGCTTAACATCACTACCATGTCCTCACTGTTCCAGCAGCTTCTGACTCTGGTCGCCTCCTGGACGGCCTCTGGTTTGTTGATTGTTGCCTAAACCTTCTGGGCTGTTCTGCCTTCGTCTGCTGCTCAGTCAGTTAGATCCACATCTTTTGATAAACCTCTTTACCTGCAGCACCGTGTCCAGAGGACTTACCTGCTTCTCTGCATGTTTCATGACATTGGAACACAGAGCAGAGGACAGAGTGGCCTACAGCAGAAGCCCAGAAGGAACCGGAAAGGTTCGTTTAGTCCTCAAAGCACATTTACAAGCAGCGTATGGCGAAGCTCTTCAAAAACAAAACCTCAGGTAATAAGAACAAAAACATGGAGAGAATCTTGGTTTTACAGGCGAAGCAACCAGGAGGTCGGCCATGAAACATCACCTTAAACAGCTTCTCTGCATGTTTTCTGTTTGGACATCTTCCTCAGCTGGAGCTGCAGCATCAGCCCCAAAGGAAGTTCTGGTTTCACGATAAAGATTCTTCATTTCTCTCAGTCCTTCACCTCAGCATTTCCCCGGCTGCTCTGCACCTTTCTGCTTTTATTTCTGTGCGATCTCACCTACAAACCTTTGCTTTTCTCTGTGTGTCTCTGCTGTTTAGTGCCCAGACGCTGGAAGGCTGTGAAATCCTGGTGGGCCCAGAGGTGACATACGGCCCTTCAGACCTGGATCTCTTATGCCCTGTTGCCATGACCATGGCCCACTGTGCAGAGGTGGATGCTGAGAACTGGAACATTCAGCTGAAGAGGAAAACCCAGGACGGTAAATGGGAGGTAAGCCGCAGGCCGAACACCTGTCACCTACATTACAGTGCATCACATCCAAACCTGGCTCAGCTAATGCCGTTGGCTTCACAATCCTTTTCCTTTCCTTCCTTTTTCTTTGTAGCTGAATGTCAGCAGCAATAGAGGTTTGGTTGCTTAGAAGCTAAGCGGATCTGTCAGCTCACTTTGTTTGCTGTGACTAAACATGTTGTCTGCCTCTTGTTTGCACTCAGCATCTCCCAGTTAAGCCTCAGCAAACCAATAACAACCTTTGCTTTAGGTGATGGGAGGTTTACAGAAACTGTACAAAGGTTTAATATTAAAGCTGAAAATGTTTTTTTGTAGTTTTGTTTGACTGAAGGTTGATTCGGTTCCAGTTATTGGGATTTTTTCCACTGATATCAGGATGTAGAAATAAAATATCAACTCTGCACATCCTTCATCTAAAGTAAATGTCGACCATTATTTATGTGACTTAAAGCAAAAACAGCTCAAAGGGCATTTAAATAAAAACATATAAGAGATTATTTTGTGGGAATGAAGTCAAAGTGAAAAACAGTGAATGAACCTAAAGCATCAGCTCCTCCAAGTCTGTGGTTCTCCACCAGAAAAGGTGGCTTTTCCCTTCAGGTTGGAGAAGAGTTCCTGCCTCAGGTGATCCAGGTAACCGGGCTACTGTTCATCAGTGAGTGGAGAATGGAGCGGGAGGTCCATAGACGGATCGGTGCGTCTGCTGCTATAATGCAGACGCTGCAGCGGTCTGTTGTGGTAAAGAGAAAGCTGAGCTAAACCCAAGGCTCAGTCTACATTCCTAAAATCAGCTACGGTCATGAAATCTGGATAATGAGCATCAGAACCAGATCCTGGATACAAGCAGCTGAATTGAGCTTCCTCTGCAGGGTGTCTGGGCTCCCTTAGAGCGAGGGTACGGAGCCCGGTCATCTGGGAGAGGCTCGGAGTAAAGTCACTTCTCCCAAAGACCTCCCAGCACCAAGCAGGGGGAGCAGCCGACACTCTGCACTGGAACCAGTTCACCACAACCCTTGGATACAGAGGAACCAGGATGGGAGGAGCAGATTATATCCCATCCTGGTGAGCCAATTCCTGAGAGGTCACATGGAAAAGAATAAACCATCATGGCGTCAGTGACCCCCTGTCAAGCACAACACACCTGGAGCCACTGGATCAACCATCCAGCACCCCAGAGTGGGGCCTGGGCACCCGCCCAGACAGGCAGCTCCCCCCCATCGCCCTGTCAGAGACGCCCAGTCCCTGTCAAACTGGCACTGTGGGCGGAGCCAGAGGACCACACTGCGTCCCTCGAAGCAACAGTGTTGATCTGTACGAGGTTCAAACGGCTGCAGGACCATCAGCAAGAAGATTGGCAGCAAAGTAAGGAAATATGGGCTTTAACGTACAGGAAGTTACCAGAACATCCTGGACCAGAACCTTCATCCCTGAGGTAGACGACTTTAAAAGGGTTGAATAGTTTTCTATAAAGGAGTGGGCATAAATCCCTCCTAACATGCATGCAAACCGGACGCGGAACATCTGAGCTCTGCTGTTCCCAAACCGAGGGCTTTTCTTCTAGAGTCTGAGTCGCGTTCTGATCAAATACTAATAATTCAATAGTTTTCAACCAAATGAAAAGAGACTCTTCCCAGATGTTGGTTTGTTTTCTATTTTATTCCATCCTGCACCGATAATCTGAACTGCTGGCAGTTCTCTCTGCTCGGTGAACTCTACACATGCTCTTTATAAGGGAAACCTCTGTTAGTCACTGGGACCTTTGGCCGCTGAGTTACATAAGGCCATGTGAATGTAACCCTGCTGGTCTGTTGGGGGGGAATAGAGAAACCATTCCAGCTTGTACTGGCCAGGGAGAAGCTTACTGCTGTCTGTCTGTGAGGGAGGAAGGCAGGACGGGTGGTGGGGAGGGAAGAAAAGAACAATCGATCGTTAGATCAGGAGTTCATGCAGTCGTGGGGCAATGATGCCAAATCCTGGAAACGGTTCCTTCAGTGATTTTGGCTCTTTGGTCAATCAGAGCTGATCGAGCGTTGATCTCAAACGCCACCAAGTGGAATTGTTCCGACTTTATTTTTCTCGTTACTTTAACTGTGGCGTTTTTCTTCAACAGTTTCCTCCTCCCTGCTGGAGCTGATTGTTTCAATGGTCTGGATGAAATTCAGATTTTAATCTCTGGCCTGAAGGCAGAACATTCCCCAATAGCCTCATTTATTCGCCTTTTTTATTTTAAGGAATAACCAGAAAAATGATTCAAAGACAAATCAGGAAAAAGGTCTTCTTGTTGCGATTGGGTTATGATGAAGAGGACTGTGCGTTCGGGACAAACGAAAATTTAAAGATGATGTAAACATTCGGTAAACCCAGAATAGAGTCATGGCCAAAAGTATTGAGAATGACACAAATATTCTATTTTCCCCTGATCTGCTGCCCTCTGGTGTCCATGTCAGATGATGTCATCACATACAGAAATACAATTGCATCATATTCTGAGTAACCAAAGCTTTTAATGACGGTTAGAATGAGTTAATGCAGCAGGTCAATATTTGCAGTAATGACCCCTCTTCTTCAGGACATTTCTCCCTGGCTGCTCTCAATCAACTTCTGGACCAAATCCTGTCTGATAGCGTCCATTCTGCTCAATCAATGCTTGCATTTTGGCAGAAGGTTTCCGTTTGTCCGCCGTCTCTTGATGATTGACCACAAGTTTTCAATGGGATTAAGATGAGGGGAGTTTCCAGGCCATGGACCCAACATCTCTCTGTTTGTTCCCTGAGCCAGTTAGATATCAGCTTTGCTTTATGTCGAGGTGCTCCATCATGCTGGAAAAGGCATCGTTCATCACCAAACTGCTCTGGGACGGTTGGGAGAAGTTGCTCTGGGAGGACATTCTGGTTCCATTCTTTATTCATGGCTGTTTTTAGGTCAGACTGGGAGAGAGCCGCCTCCCTTGGCTGAGAAGCAACCCCACCATGAATGGTTTCAGGATGCTTTACAGTCGGCATGAGACCAGACTGGTGGTAGCGCTCACCTGGTCTTCTCCCAACCAGCTGTTTTCCAGATGTCCCAAACAATGGGAAAGGGGATTGCTGAGAGAAAATGACTTTCCCCCAGTCCTCAGCAGTCCCCTCCCTGGACCTTTAGCAGAATATCAGTCTGTCCCTGATGGTTTTCCTGGAGAGAAGTGGCTTCTTTGCTGCCCTCCTTCAGACCAGGCCTTGCTCCAAGAGTCTCCGCCTCACAGTGCAGATGCACTCACACCTGCCTGCTGCCATTCCTGAGCAAGCTCTGCACCGCTGGTAGCCCCATCCCGCAGCTGAAACACTTTTCAGAGACGGTCCTGGCGCTCGCTGGTCTTTCTTGGCGCCCTGGAGCCTTTTTGGCAGCAATGGAACCTCTCTCCTTGAAGTTCTTGATGATGCCATAGATTGCTGACTGAGGAGCAATCTCTCTAGCTGCCATTGTCTTTCCTGTTCGGCCATTTTTGTGCAGTGCAATGATGACTGCAGGTGTTTCTTTAGAGAAAACCATGGTTCACAGCAGAGAACCAATGATGCCGAGCAGCAGCCTCTTTTTAAAGTGTCCAGTGGCGTCATTCTGACTGAATCCTGACAGATTGATCTGCAGCCCTGTCCTCATCACCACCCACACCTTCAGCGTCTGCTCTGCCGATAATGCAAGCGTAGAAGAAGAAATGTGCTGTTTACCTGTGCAAAGAAAGAAACAACGAAAGAAAAATGTCTGAGGACTTCAGTGTTGAGGAAGAGCATGAGTTCTTTGCCGAGCTGAATACGCACTTTCATCTGGTTTGGTCTGCCGCGGTTTCCGTAGACTCGTGAACGCGCTTTTAGGAAATCCTATACACTACTGTTTATGCTCTAAAAACATTCTAAATGACTTTGTTTCGAGTAAATTCTGGATGCTACCCACTCAGGACACTTGGAATACATTGGACGAGCAGTATGGAAGAATATTGACACGTTTTTTGTGGACTTTTATGGACCTTTCTGCCTCGGTCACCATAGACCTCCATTATTTGAATGTCAGCAGACAGCAAGAAGCCTCCCAGATCTCCAGATGCATTTGAGATATCAAAAAAGTACTCCAGAGTGTTGTTCAGCATGGGGGTGAGTAGAAAATGAAGGCTAATCATGTTTTGGGTGTACTATTCCTTTAAGGCAGGGCTGCAATGACGCTGAAATGTGTTTTGGGGATAAAGTTCATTTTCTAGGCAAATATTGACTTTGCAGTTAATTGCTGTTACGCTGATCACTCTTTAGAACATTCTGGAGTTTATGCAAATTACCGTTATAAAAACTGAAGCAGTAGACTTTGTAAATATTAACATTTAAATCATTCCCCAAACTCTTGGCCATGACTGTAGATCAGAATAATGAATAGAGCAGGTTGTTGTGGTGTTTGTCACCTTTTAAGTGTTAATTGGGTCTCTGCTGCCTGCAGTCTGCGATCTCTACTTTTTATCTTTCGTAGAGAACAATGATGAGCTATTTCTTTAAACCTAATTAACAATAACTCTGAGTATCCTTGATTCACTTCAGGGGAATTAAAGCCCCTGATCTGTTTCTGCTCCTTACTGTATGAAGAGGTGAAGATATTTCTAACACCTATTTATTTTAGTTCATTTCTAGAACCACATTTCTTTGCAGTTTGTCGTATCTGCAGTCTTTCACGTCTAAAAACTAAAACCAATGCATGTTCTTTATAAAACGGCTTCAGCTCAGACAGACTGGAAGGAGACGATCTGGAAAAATAACTTCTTTTTTTTAATTAGTCTGAACTTTGACTGGGCCATTTGAGCACATCTACAGCATTTGCCTTCATCGTCAGAATAATAGTGAATTTCTGCTCTAGTCTGTTTAAGGTTCTTTTCTTAGTGTGAATATTTATTTTATTAACAGCTGAGACTGTGAGGTCTGGGTAATTGCTCAAAAAAAGTCTTGAAAGATTTCCAAGATGGTTCT